ATAGTCTATAAAGTACATGCTGATTTTCTTTTGGAACTCCCTGCTATGGTCCATTAGCCATCGTATACTTGCAATGTGATCCCTGGATCCAACACTATTAATTGTTTATAGCACAATACTATGCAGGTCTTCTCAGAAATAATTTGGCTGTGGTTTACTCCCAGATAAATACATATAGAAATTGAAGAAAATCCACTGGTAGCTATAAATAATAATAATAATAATAATAATAATAATATTTATTTGTATCCCGCCCCTCTGTCAAGCAACAATTGGCTTACAACAATTAAAATTCCATACAATATATTAAAATACAATCCAAAAAATCCCAAAACTCACCCACCCTTAAAAATGTATTAAACCAATTATCCATTAAAACAGCATTATTAAAACATCATAACTCCTCACTAAAACAAAACAAAGAGAGACAGATAGAGCAGTGACTTCAGCCAAGGATAGGAGAGGAGGGGATAAAAGGACTCCTGAGGCCGGGAATTCTAGTCAGGAAATGCCTGCCAGAAGAGATCAGTCTTAACAGCCCTTTTAAAGCTGCTTAAGGTCATGATCTGATAGATCTCGTCTGGCAGGCCATCCCATAGGCTGGGAGCAGTTGCCAAGAAGGTCCTCTGGGAGGCTGCAGACAGCCTTGTTTTTATTGGCTGCAGCAGGTTCCTCCCAGAGGACTGGAGTGAACGAGGTGGATTGTACGAGAGGAGGCGGTCCCGGAGATAGATTGGACGCAAGTCATTTAGGGCTTTAAAGGTGATAACCAACACCTTATACTGAGCCTGGAAACTAATAGGCAGCCAGTGGAGAGACTTTAGTACTGGTCTTATATGGTCTTTCCTAGATGTACCCGAAACCAATCTGGCTGCCATGTTTTGCAGTAACTGAAGTTTTTGGACCAAGCACGAGGGTAGCCCCATGTAGAGTGCATTACAGAAATCCAGACGGGAAGTTACCAGCGTGTGTACCACAGTTTCAAGATCCCTTACTTCCAGGAAAGGGCACAGCTGGTGTATCAGCTGAAGCTGATGACAGGCACTGATGACTGGTCATCTGAAGCGACGGATCTAAGAGCACCCCAGACTGCGAATACAGTCCTTCATGGAGAGTGTGACCCCGTCCAGGACTGGAGGTTGTATCCCTATTCCTGGTTTTGGGGCCGCTACAGTGAGCACCTCCATTTTGTCTGGATTCAATCTCAATCTGTTTTTCCTCATCCAGTCCATTACTGCCCTAAGACAGTCATTGAGAGGAGAGACGCCATTGGGAGCCAAGGCTGATGACCAAAACATGGAGAAATAGATCTGGGTGTCATCACCGTACTGATAACACCCTGTCCCATGTCTCCGGATGATCTCTTCCAGCGGCCACATATATATGTTAAACAGCATCGGGGACAGAATGGTGCCTTGAGGGATGCTGCAAGTGAGCTCCTTTTTTGCAGAGCAATTGTCCCAAAGCAACACCCTCCCAGATCTGGCCAAGAGGAAGGAACGGAACCACTGCAATGCAGTGCTTCCAATTCCTAACCCACTCAGGCGATCCAAGAGGATGCTGTGATCTATCGTATCGAAAGCCACTGAGAGGTCTAAAAGCACCAGCAGGGTCCCACTCCCCCTGTCGATGCTCAGATGAAAGTCATCGGCCAAGGCAACCATGGCAGTCTCAACTCCAATTCTGTCCTAAAGCCAGTTTGAAATGGATCTAGATCAGGGGTAGGCAACCTTTCCCCTTTAAGGGCCAAGGGACTTCAGCTCCCAGAAGCCTCAGCCATGTTGGTCAATAGTCCCATGTTGGCCAATAGCTCCTGGGATTCTGGGAGTTGAAGTCCCTCGGCCCTTAAAGGGGAAAGGTTGCCTACCCCTGATCTAGATAATCTACTGAAATCAATTAGATGTACATGTTGTTGTTGTGTGCCTTCAAGTCATTTCTGACTTATGGTGACCCTAAGGCCACCATAATGGGGTTTTCATGGGGTTTTCCTGGCAAGATTTCTTTAGAAGAGGTTTGCCATTGCCTTCCCCTGAGGCTGAGAGTGTTTGTGGGTTTCATGGCCAAGCTGGGCATTGAACCCTGGTCTCCAGAGTTTCAGTCCAACATTCAAACCATTACAGTACACTGGCTCTCTAGCTGTGATGAACAAATTCCATTCAGTGAAATAAGTCTAATATAAGCAGGTCTAATGTTGGATTTAGCCCATTGTTAAATGCATTAGACAAGACTTTTCATAGTGTCTATGCTATGTGACTGTACTGGCCACATTTGGGGCCTTCTGAAAGGTCCACACTGCCATCACTATGACATGCCTTGGCAAACTCCCCTGCTTCCCAAACAAGAGAGTACAGCATTGAAACAAGGATGGGGATGCTAATTAGCACGTTCAGGACAATTCACTTTTTGATACACCACAGTTTATAATTTTGTTAGATCCCAAATGTTTTTTTAAAAAACAATCCACTTTCAGCCATATGAAGCTAGCTTGTTTCAACAAACCATAGTTGAGATTAACCACAATTGAGAATTCAGAAGTAACATTACATTGGGATTCAATAAAAAATAGAAATGAAAAGTTTTTGATGTTCTCCTCAAGGATGCCCCAAAGTAGGGGTGTGGGAAGAAGAACACAAGCCCATAGATTATTGTGGTGTCTAAAATGGCCCAAGAGAAAACTAAAATTATTCTGCCTGATTTATGGCCTTTTTAGTTGTGGAGGATGTGTGGCACAGTAAGTACTGATTCTGTGCCAAAGCAATTATTGAATGGCCTTAGCACACACACCAGATCATCGATCACTACTCAACCCACTCTTAGAGGGTTTGCATAGAAATGTGCAAAACCTGGAAGAGTAGTTTTGTTTTGAAAATGGTTTTATCAAATCCAAACCTGATAGGGTGGGAGTTGGGGGAATTTCCAATGCCAGATGATTCTTTTTGCCTCAATATGTTTGGCATAATTATAACCTGCTTGCTAAAATTACAGGGCTCCAGATGTTTTTCACACATGCACATTTCAAGCAGTGAAAAGTCATTATGGACTTCACTGCCTTAAGGCTTCACAAAGAGTAGCCTATGGGTTTGTGCAATGTGATTTGGTTTGCAAGCATTAAAATATATCAGAAATAAAACTATTGTGAAAATATAAAACATTCCTTGAAGCAGGGCTGGATCTCAATTTCCTGAACGAGTATGGCTGCAGTCAAGATCAACATAAATTTGGATACACTTTCTGCTTTGAGAGAAGAACAAATACTAAAATTCCAGCATGAATTCTAATGGAGCGGAATTAAAAATTTAGTGTGAAGTCGTAGGCTTTCATGGCTGGAAAAACCCACAAAAACTAAAAATGTAGTATTTGTTTTATTTCTGCAAATGGGCAGATTGTGTGAAGGACTTATTCTACTGGTGGCAGAATCTTTTACTTTCTTAGTAAACACACAGGATAGCTTCATAAACAAATTCAGCTAAACAATTAATCAGATTAGGCATGTCATCATAAAATAGTACAATTCGTTTACTGCTGTGCCTACAATATATCAAATGCACTGAAAATAAAACTGGTAGTCCAGTTTTTGTTTTGAAGAGTTTGGAAATATCACTGTTCATTTCCAACTCCCTGTTGCAGGAAAGTAATTGTGTTACCTTTACTGTTTTCAATTGTGTTTACAAATTTATTAAGCCATTTGTAACATATAGTAATTACTGAAGCTTTAGAATGCCATGGCTTATTGCATGCTAAGTCCCTTTGTTGGCTTTCCTTCAACCCTTCTTTCAAAACCATGCTTTCAAACTGCTTGACAAATCTCAAAAGGACAGTGAAGGAAAATAAATTAGAAAGTGAAATATTTAAAAATTATAGACTTGATTATTTCCCTTATGTTCTTCTCTCTCTCTCTCTCTCTCTTGAATCATGGATTGGAATAGACCACAAGGGCCATCCAGTCCAACTCTCTGTCATGCAAAAAAACAAAACAAAACAACAACAACAACAAAACCAACCCCCCGCCCCCTACAATCCAAGCACTCTCAACAGAGGGCCTCTGTTTAAAAACCTCAATAGACTCGTATCCTACGCTTATTGGAACATTTTTTGTTGCTGTTAATTTACTATTTTTGTGGACCTGTAGGTTTTTTTTTTTTGCAAAGATATCATGGGAGACGATGTCAAAGGCCTTACTGAAATCAAGATATTCCACATCCACAGCACTCCCTTCATCTACCAAACTTGTAATTCTATCAATAAGAAGATAAGATTAGTTTGGCATGACTTATTTTTGAAAAATCCATGTTGACATTTAGTGATCACAGCATTCCTTTCTAAGTACTTACAGACTGTATGTTTCATGATTTGCTCTAGAGTCTTTCCTGGTATTGATGGGAGGTAATTAATTGACCCCCCCCCCCCTTTTGAAGATGGGGACAACATTTGTCCTCCTCCAGTCTGCTGGGACTTCTCCTGTTGAGAACCAGGAATTCTCAAAGATTATTGACAGTGGTTCTGAGATTACTTCTGCCATTTCTTTTAATACCCTTGGATGGAGTTCATCTGGCCCTGGAGACAGCCTCTCTCTCTCTCTCTCTCTCTCTCCCATCCATCCATCCATCCATCCAACCGTCTCTCCATCTCAATAGTCTGTGTTTTCTATAGTTAGGATGATGTTCTTTTCTAACAAAAAAGGATATTGAATCCTTTTCTAACAAAAAAGGATATTGAAGGGGAATCTACTACAGACCCCCAACTCAAGCAGAAGAATTGGATGAAGC